TTTATAAGCTATGATTAATTAAATTTCTGCAATCATATTGCACTTTGTTATATTGCGTTAACAACGATTTATAAGCAGATGTGTTATCTTCTTATATACTGCAAATAAAAAATAATTTGTTTTTCGAATACATACGTGTGAATGCTGAAATGCGCGCGAGTGCGGTGCGTCCATGTGCACGCGTATGTATGTTATGGAACATTTGTTATAGAAGATATCTGTAAATGACATGTTTTAAAATTTTGATTGCATAAACTATTATAAAATTGGTCGAATTCAAAAACTATTTTTCATTAAATGTCTTTATAGAAGTATTTTAAATATATTTGCTATTTTCATGGAAGAAAAACTTGGAAGTTTTTCACTTGAATAACCATATTTTCTTCACTATAGAAATGTTATCGTAAATGTTACTTTGAAAATAGTGCAAAAAGCAAATTAAAAAAATTCTTTATTATGAGAATATTTATATGCATATATATTATGTAAACAAATTATGTTCTAAAAATGTTTATGTAAAAGAAAATTATGTAAATCGAAATTGACATAATTTGTAAAATGACATTTTTCATTCATGATATTAAAAATGTTTCGTATAGTATTTAGGCTAATATTTACAGCTTTCAAATATTGCTCCTTAACTGTATATTTATGTATTTAATTCTAAATATAATAATTCTAAATATTCTATATGCTAAAACATGCAGAAGTATCTCTTTAAATGTGAAACGAAAAAAAAACAAGTTTCGTTTATTACGTTGCGTGCGTTAAAATCGGATAAACTAACTCATTATATCCTTGTACAATACTATGCTACTTAATGCTCACGCGCGCGATTATAATAGAAAAAAATTCGAGATATATAGTTGTAATAATAGTTTTTAGAAAATAAGATACAAAGATAATATAAATGTGAGAAAAGATTGAATTAATATGATATATTGACTTTAAAAAATTATCATTACTGTAATATAAATTATTCTCATGAAGGAGATAAATAAAAGCAAAAAAGTGCTGTAATGTATTATATATTTTCCGATGTATACCCTCGTTACAAGTTTTATAAAGTTATACATAAACATTATGTATACTATATATCTCAATTAATAATTTGTACGATCTATAACAGGGTACAATCTATAACAAAGTACAATCTATAACGTATATTTTATATTTTATATTTTATTTATATTTTATTAGTTATGTATTAATGTTCATTTTTTCTTTCATCTTATAATCAAATCAAATTTTATCTAATATATTTACATTGGGAGTTACGCATTTATTCTATTTCATTAAAAAAAAAAAAAAAAAAAAAAAAAAAAAAAAAAA